CTTTTGAAATGTAATCTTCTTCCAAGAATATTAAACTTCTTTAAGTGAAAAGTTTAAAAATGCTTTCTTGGTTCACCTCCAGGCAACCAACCTGAACTAAGTTCGGATACCATAACTCCAACTTCGTTGAACTCAATATTTCGTGATCAGTCTGTGGGTTTTGTATTCATTACAGTGGCAATATTTAAAAACCCTTTTAAATTTGTGTCTTTGGTTTTGTAAATGATGGTTTTAATATGTAATACAATACGAAATATCGAATCTAAACACAAGAACATTAAATTAATCACATACTTTGATTTTACATTTGATTTTAAAATGTCATCAGTACATAAAAAGGCAAAAGTTAGTGAAAGATTAGTTGAAATCCATAGTATCAAATAAAGTTTTAAAATGAAGCCATTATATGCAATCCACATCTTTCAATGCAAAACCATACAGATTTGTAAATAAGTATTTCAGCTTAGGAAACTGCGAAACAGAAACGATTTAACTTCCTGAAGGTTTACCAATGTCGACCCTATGAAAACAAATTTACAGTCACTAAACAATCGTTTATTCTAATTTAGGATTCCTGTATCATTCATTTCCGTTTGTCAACTTGAATATTTCCTTAAATCCAAGTAATCCAACGGTTGCAGTTTTTCATTTCTTTAAATTTGCTATTTGGTAACCAAGCCTTGGTCGATTAAATCCTTAAGTATCCCTTAGAAAGAAGGGTTTACAAACCTTTTATGTCGGATATGTAATAAATAAAATATCATAGGCAACTAAATACATGGTTTACACAAAAGATTGTTCCATTCTATACTTAAGCCCTGCCACTTTTCTACATTTTCTGTTTTACCTGTTTGGTTGTAGCTAAATTTAAGAAGATTTCGGCCAACATATTGGTTTCTTTGTATTCTTGACATCGCCCATGATGATTTCATCTTATTGGGGTAAATTAAGCACATTGGATTCTAGACAAAATGCCTCAGTTGATGAACTAAGATGAGCAATCCGAGAAAGTTTTCTCCAGAGCTCCAACGAAATTAAATTTCAAACATGGTTTGAAATTGGAGTGGCATTAAGTTTGTAACCTGAAATAAACACAGTTCCATCATATACATAACTTTTCATCAACTGAGAACTGTGATGTTTTTCTTTGAAAAACTTCTATTATTCACGCTATAAGAACTTTTCCTATAACAAAGGATGTAGTCGAAAACGAAGAAGTCAGTATGGCCAACCCCTTGTTTATTGTATCTGCTCGTCAAAAGTTGTATATATCACTATCTATTCAGATAAACAATCTTACCAACAGTTATGAGTAAAACTAAACTTTTTATGGGGCTGATACCATTAACACAGGTGGAACATTTTGCATTGAAAAATAACAGTATTGTATAAGTAATGTATAAAATGTTCCTAATCTTTTCTGGTCATCATGTAACGAAACGAAATGATATGATATTTATTCATCTATAGATATTATATAAATACATGAGACACAGTCAATTATATACGAACATGCTAGTGAAAGCACAAGTCAAGTTCAAAAAACTAAAATTAAACAATTACAAAGTTTTAGGACACCTTAACTGACACAGCATGCAAATAAATACTGGCACAAACGCAGATGCATAAAACGGGCTGAAAAAGACATTCAAGGCTGTGATTAGAAAATCATATGTGATTATGACATTGGTTGTAAAGAAAAAAAATCAATCTTATACAGGGGTTTTCTAACAAGCCATTCATAAATAACTATTGTAAAGGAGTTGAATTATTCTTGGCAGTAGTTTGTTCAACAATATTTTACCCAAAATATCTGTAGTTTATTTTAGTTTCCCAGTCTTGTTAAAGGAATGTCAAGGTTATATCTTTTCCTTGTATCAAAGCAATGAAAATCATCCCTTAGAGCAAAAGTTTCATGCAACTTAAAACTAGATATGTATTATAAATATTAAGGTGTATCACAGTCAGAGCATTAGAGTTTATAAATAATGGTTAAAATTATGTAAACAATGCAACTCATCACAACTTATCAATCTTGATTATATTTTGCATATTTTATTTTAATATACAGTATAAATATCTGCCCACAAGATTTCACGAATCAAAACCGCTGCACGTCGCTGAGGTTTTTACTTTCTTGTGAATTGTAAAGTTTACCGACGTAACTTTGCCAAGTTAAAGTCAGCCACGGCAAGTTTGTTATAGGTTGTATTGCTCCCGCTTGTTAACATAAGTTACGGAACAGTTTTGACGTAAGATTGTTGAAACTAGTTTGGATATGTGGTTTTGGGGTATATAAATTGAAAACTCGTACAACTTTCACATGACAAAGTTTCATACACCACGAATATTAGTACAGAAAGCGGTATGGATCATAAATTTAAACGAATTACGTAAGTGGCCCGAATCTTTGTACTAGTAACATAATTAGTTTTTTTTTATGAAACATACAGCGTAAATTTCGAAAATATCTAAATAGGCCTATAATACATTTTTAACAAACTTAAAAATACTTATTTATTCTTTTATTATTTATATTATGAGAACAATTTTCGCCTTGAACAGGTAGGCAAATGTAATTTAATTTTAAAATGATCAGGGGTGTTTTTCATAAAAAGGTGTTGCTTCAGGATCAAAATCGGTAAAACGTAAAAAAGTGCGAAATTCCGCAGATTTTTACTCTTTTTGGCGGTGATCCGGAAGGTCACCAAGGTTGAAAATTTAGATTTAGCATCTCGGTAATATTCAAAACAACATAAAAAGAAACCTACTACTTCATTTCATGCAAGGTAGACCTGGGTAGACCCTGCTTTTGATAACAAAGTTATTAGGTTATAAACTAAATTCCTAATTATAAATTATAAAGATTAGAAGAACTGAATATCTTATAAAATAAAATTAATAGTAGTCGTCAATTATAAGGAATTGAATCTTATACTAGGATAAAACCATACTAATGACTACTATCATTGACTATTTGATACTAAACAGTCAAAGCTATTTATAAATTAATATTTAGCTGTATATCAGTGCTATTGTGACCTAAATTCAAACAAAACATGACACGAAGATTTGCAGACCGCATGCGAACATTTTGTTGAATTCCGTCAGGTGTTTGTGTTGTGAAATTCCGCCACAACATCAATCACTTTTGATAAACGATCCCCAGGTTAGGTGTACGGATTTATAAATAGAGACGTAAAATTTATTATACAGCATTGGATGGATTTGGAAATTTTTTTCATAAATAGCTACACTAGATAACAAACTTAGGTTTAACTTAGGCACGCCCCTGATACGAGGTAATTTCAGTTGAGTAATTATTCGATAGGCTTTTGCTTGGTTTGCTAATTCGCATTTACAAATCCAACAGAATGATTAGTAAAGACAAAAATTTCTCTCCTTAGGCTACATTTACATTTGTACACAACTCTAGTTAAATCTCACATTGTAAATAGCTGTTAATGCAATGATGTCTTCTGCTTTGAATGTTTTAACACAATCATTTTAAACATTCTTTTATGTTTCATTTCAACCCTGCAATACAATTTGGGAAAGGGAGGAATAAAACCTACCGTGCTGAGCCGAGGGTAAAATAAAACCGCGTTAAAAGTTTGCCAGTCGACAAGTTTAACCATAATAAAATAAAAATGGTTATAATTAATTTATTTGGGTATATTTTCAACAAGTGTTGGACCTCATTGTTTGATCCAAAAACTGCTGTTTAGTTTTAAAGTTAGACTTGATTTTGTTTGTCAAAAAAGAAAAACTAACACAACAAGTAACTTTTGGGCAATACAAATAGCTGCCAAGCACAGACTCTCAACAACAACATTAAGGCCTCGGGTACGATACGAGTGGCGAGAAAACCTAACCCTAATTTTTTTCCCCACTTTTCTGGTGACTGAAGTGTTTTAAAACTTCCTTGCTGGTCATTCCACAAACCCCTGGACTGCACCTCACTTATCGACCCTTATCGCATGTTTGATGCTGTTTCTCTGTCATTTTAGGCCGAACTGAAGCATGACTCACCTGAGTGGCGAGCGGCGTTTTCGCGTAAATCGGTTTTGACTTGGAACCATGAGCGGCGCTGAGCGGCGCCGCTTACCGCCGCTCACCGCTCAGACGTTATTGTGGCCACCCTCAACAAGTTCACACGCAACTAAATGAGACCCGATGTCAGAGCGGGACCGCTCGTGCCACGATCGCCGCTCGTATCGTACGGCCGTGATCGTACCCGGGGCCTTATTGTTAAATGAACCACTTCAAAACAATTTGAAGAGCAGGTCCAGAATTATTGAGGGTCTCTAAGTCTACAAATCATGTTGGTAACGTAGCAAGGTGCGTTAAAATTACAGTAGGTATCATCCGCAAATGAAGTAGCAATTAATTCCTATAAACTCATCCTGGGAGTTTTGCTATGTTTCAAGAATACATATACAAAAAGGGTCCAAGGACACTTCCTTGAGGGTTCCCAAATTTTGTTAGATGTAGATCAGTAAGAAATCTTTATATTTGGAAAGTCCTGTTTCGAAGGTTAAATTTCAAAATCGGACAATTTTAATGGGTTTGATACAGTTTTACTTTAAGTCCACATGACACCTCTCATCGAATGCCTAGCTAACATCCAAGAAGGCAGCTGCGCATTTTTTTTTTATTTTCCATACATTCACGACACTTTAGGTATCATTTAACTGTTTTAAAATTTAACTGTGAAAAATAAAGAAAAATAGAACTGACATATTGTGGGCTTTAAAATTTAACAAAACCAAAATTATTAGTATTACCGAAACTGTTATCAATTAAACTTATAAATAACTTATGATTAACCCTTGATATATAGGTTGCAACCGCGATTAGTGTACCTCGAAGCTGCATGGATTTTTGAAAGCCTAGCCATTGGCTTAAATAGACAAAAACAACATACATGACCGACCTAAAAATTGTTTGTGTATGTGTGTGTGTGTGTCGTGTGTGTGAGTGTTGTAAACTAACTTCAAAATAATATGTGTTTCTGTTCTGTTCACTGTTTACTGTTTAGGTTAAATTATTATACTTAAGTAGCCCTACTATGGGACCTTTAAGAAAGAACATTATATCTTTTAAAGGAAGTAACTATCTGAGACAAAGGCTTGTGCTGTCTGTGCTTAGTGGGAAAGCCATAAATATTAGTGAAATTAGGGCTCAAAGTGATGAACCTGGTTTACAAGGTAAGTTAACCTAATTTTATCCTAAGCTTACTGCCACGTTGAATTAGCCTCAAAATTGTAATTTGCTAGTCATACCAATGGTTCATGTAAAATGGATAGGTAGCCTACTGTTCATCAGCAGTGTAGGCCTATGATCTTGAACAAAAAGCGAATGTAGCCTACTATGGCTGGGTAGTAGGGATGAGCATCGATGGCCGATATTTTCGAAACATCGATGTTTTCTTTCGATGTTCGATGTTTTTGCCATCGATAGTGAGCTAACGATGTTTATCGTACATCGATGTTTTGCATCGATGTTTTTAGAATTTTACTGTACACGATGTTTTTTTCAGTTTTTTAAATCTACTCGTATAGCCTAAAACGGAATTGTTAGTTTTATTTTTACCAGGTTTTTTAAAATAAACCCTCTACTCTCAAAACAACAACTAATTTTGTTAGTACAAGTACGCTACTGGAGATTCTCGTAGGACCCGACTGTACTGGCGCTCGGCGAGAGAGTTGTGTACGCGACTGTGACTGTACTGTGTTCCTGCATTTCTCTGTCTTTTCTGCTATTTCATTTCAATCGATGGAGCTGGGAATGAATTAAAGCAGGCTTAAAGCCTTTGTAATGTACTAATAACTTGACGAAATTAAATAAATTTTTTGATAATGTTTGATTTAAATTTGTTGTGTGTTTACTTGTGGTTTACCTACTTATCCTTTTATACGAAACTATGGAATTTTTACTAAAACAATGATGTTTTGATCCAATCACTTTTTTTACAAAATTACGGAATTTTTATTAAAACATCGATGTTTTGGTCCGATTTTCATCGATGTTTAGAGGTCGATGTTTTCCACTCGTCGATGTTAACTTATGGTTCGATGTTAACATCAATGGTCAACATCGATGTTTTTCTATCGATGCTCATCCCTACTGGGTAGCTGACTAGCTGAGTTGTTATAGTGCTCGCCTAGTAGAGTAACTTAGGCCTAAACAAAAGGTACATTTCATACATTTACTTTATACATTTATTTTATTTCAACACCAAAGCACAATATTTTAATTTGCGCTTAATTGAAAATTACGCAAATTGTAATAGCCTAAGTAACCAGATGAGTTATTGCCATTCGCCTGAATTAAAATGAAGATATATTTTAAAATCTAAGCTAGGCTATAAAATTGAATTTTGTTAAAATGGTAGGGATACAATTATTGTCATGGAGTAAATTTAAAAAACCATACTTGTCCCCTTCCATATATCCTTACTCCTTTGCAAACACAATGCATCGGCATAATCTCAATAAGGGCAATTCAATTCAATTCAATTCAATTCAATTATTTACAAGTAAGTAAGTTAATCAGTATGAGTGCAGTATTGTTATTAGACTAATTGGCAATATATATATTTTGCAAAATGTTTTAGCGTAGCAGGAGTATATATATTTGAACAAGCAAAACAGCTGTAAAGGCAACAAATGGTTCCTCACTACCATAGTGATAAAATAATTCAATAAAATGTTATGCATGATAACGTTTAGGTTTGGATGCGTTGGCCCAGGGTGTTGTTACGGATGTGTTGGCCAAAGGTGACGTTACGGATGAGTTGGCCTAGGGTGTTGTTACGGATGCGTTGGCCAAAGGTGACGTTGCGGATGCGTTGGCCCAGGGTGTGGTCCCCAGAAGGGGTGTTGGTTTATCTTCCTGCTTGGGTGCGTAAGCCCAGGGTGACGTTACGGATGCGTTGGCCAAGGGTGACATTATGGATGCGTTGGCCAAGGGTGACATTATGGATGCGTTGCCCAAGGGTGACGTTACGGATGCGTTGGCCCAGAGTGTTGTTACGGATGCGTTATCCCAGGGTGACGTTACGGATGCGTTGGCCAAGGGTCTATTTAATCCTTCCTGCATGGGTGGGTGGTTAGGCTCATCAACTGAAATACATAATAAACTGTCATGGATCACTGATTGAATTAATTACGGTATACCTTTTCTTACTATATATCCCTTTTAGCTTTATGAACATAAAAACTCAAATAATTTCTAAACAAGGGTGCGCAGCTCAGGGTGTGGTCCCCAGAAGGGGTGTTGGTTTATCTTCCTGCTTGGGTGCGTTGGCCCAGGGTGTGGTCCCCAGAAGGGGTATTGGTTTATCTTCCTGCTTGGGTGCGCTGGCCCAGGGTGCGATCCCAGAAGGGGTATTGGTTTATCTTCCTGCTTGGGCGCGGTCCCCAGAAGGGGTATTGGTTTATCTTCCTGCTTGGGTGCGCTGGCCCAGGGTGTGGTCCCCAGAAGGGTATTGGTTTGTGTTCCTGCTTGGGTGCGCTGGCCCAGGGTGCGATCCCCAGAAGGGGTATTGGTTTATCTTCCTGCTTGGGTGCGGTCCCCAGAAGGGGTATTGGTTTATCTTCCTGCTTGGGTGCGCTGGCCCAGGGTGCGGTCCCCAGAAGGGGTATTGGTTTATCTTCCTGCTTGGGTGCGGTCCCCAGAAGGGGTATTGGTTTATCTTCCTGCTTGGGTGCGCTGGCCCAAGGTGTGGTCCCCAGAAGGGTATTGGTTTGTGTTCCTGCTTGGGTGCTCTGGCCCAGGGTGCGGTCCACAGAAGGGGTGTTGGTTTATCTTCCTGCTTGGGTGCGCTGGCCCAGGGTGTTGTCCCCAGAAGGGGTGTTGGTTTATCTTCCTGCTTGGGTGCGGTCCCCAGAAGGGGTATTGGTTTATCTTCCTGCTTGGGTGCGCTGGCCCAGGGTGTGGTCCCCAGAAGGGTATTGGTTTGTGTTCCTGCTTGGGTGCTCTGGCCCAGGGTGCGGTCCACAGAAGGGGTGTTGGTTTATCTTCCTGCTTGGGTGCGCTGGCCCAGGGTGTTGTCCCCAGAAGGGGTGTTGGTTTATCTTCCTGCTTGGGTGCGCTGGCCCAGGGTGCGGTCCCCAGAAGGGGTGTTGGTTTATTTTACTGCTTGGGTGCGCTGGCCCAGGGTGCGGTCCACAGAAGGGGTGTTGGTTTATCTGCCTGCTTGTTTATCTTCCGGATGCGTTATCCCATGGCGATGTTACGGATGCATTGGCCAAAGGTGACGTTACGGATGCGTTGGCCTAGGGTGTTGTTACGGATGCGTTGGCCAAAGGTGACGTTACAGATGCGTTGGCCCAGGGTGTGGTCCCCAGAAGGGGTGTTGGTTTATCTTACTGCTTGGGTGCGTAAGCCCAGGGTGACTATACGGATGCGTTACCTCAGGGTGACGTTACGGATGCGTTGGCCCATGGTGACATTACGGATGTGTTGGCCAAGGGTGACATTATGGATGTGTTGCCCAAGGGTGACGTTACGGATGCGTTGGCCCAGGGTGTTGTTACGGATGCGTTATCCCAGGGTGACATTACGGATGCATTGGCCAAGGGTCTATTTAATCCTTCCTGCATGGGTGGGTGGTTAGGCTCATCAACTGAAATACATAATAAACTGTCATGGATTACTGATTGAATTAATTACGGTATACCTTTTCTTACTATATATCCCTTTTAGCTTTATGAACATAAAAACTCAAATAATTTCTAAACAAGGGTGCGCAGCTCAGGGTGTGGTCCCCAGAAGGGGTGTTGGTTTATCTTCCTGCTTGGGTGCGCTGGCCCAGGATGCGGTCCACAGAAGGGGTGTTGGTTTATCTTCCTGCTTGGGTGCGCTGGCCCAGGGTGCGGTCCCCAGAAGGGGTGTTGGTTTATCTTTCTGCTTGGGTGCGCTGGCCCAGGGTGCGGTTCCCAGAAGGGGTGTTGGTTTATCTTCCTGCTTGGGTGCGCTGGCCCAGGGTGCGGTCCCCAGAAGGGGTGTTGGTTTATCTTTCTGCTTGGGTGCGCTGGCCCAGGGTGTTGTCCCCAGAAGGGGTGATGGCTTATCTTCCTGCTTGGTTGTGCTGGCCCAGGGTGTGGTCCCCAGAAGGGGTGTTGGTTTATCTTCCTGCTTGTTTATCTTCCGGATGCGTTATCCCATGGTGACGTTACGGATGCGTCGGCCCAGGGTGTGGTCCCCAGAAGGGGTGTTGGTTTTTTGTTCCTGCTTGGGTGTGTTTGCCCAGGGTGACGTTACGGATGCGTTGGCCCAGGGTGTTGTTACGGATGCGTTATCCCAGGGTGACGTTACGGATGCGTTGGCCAAGGGTCTATTTAATCCTTCCTGCATGGGTGGGTGGTTAGGCTCATCAACTGAAATACATAATACACTGTCATGGATTACTGATTGAATTAATTACGGTATACCTTTTCTTACCATATATCCCTTTTAGCTTTATGAACATAAAAACTCAAATAGTTTCTAAACAAGGGTGCGCAGCCCAGGGTGCGGTCCCCATAAGGGGTATTGGTTTATCTTCCTGCTTGGGTGCGCTGGCCCAGGGTGCGTCCCCAGAAGGGGTGATGGTTTATCTTCCTGCTTGGGTGCGCTGGCCCAGGGTGCGGTCCCCAGAAGGGGTGTTGGTTTATCTTCCTGCTTGATTATCTTCCGGATGTGTTATCCCATGGCGACGTTACGGTTGCGTTGGCCAAAGGTGACGTTACGGATGCGTTGGCCCAGGGTGTTGTTACGGATGCGTTGGCCCAGGGTGTGGTCCCCAGAAGGGGTGTTGGTTTATCTTCCTGCTTGGGTGCGTTAGCCCAGGGTGATGTTACGGATGTGTTGCCCAAGGGTGACGTTACGGACGTGTTGGCCCAGGGTGTTGTTACGGATGCGTTATCCCAGGGTGACGTTACGGATGCGTTGGCCAAGGGTCTATTTAATCCTTCCTGCATGGGTGGGTGCTGGGTGGTTAGGCTCATCAACTGAAATACATAATAAACTGTCATGGATTACTGATTGAATTAATTACGGTATACCTTTTCTTACTATATATCCCTTTTAGCTTTATGAACATAAAAGAGTGAAAATTTAAAAACGTACGTTTTCATGTCCCTGGCCTTTTACTTCGTAGATACTGGAATTGTAGTTTATTATTATGTGTTTTAATATTTTTTGGGACGGGGGCAACATGTTACACACATTTATTTGGTTTTAAATAGGTTTTAGGTATTTTTTTCGTATTTTTAAAGTCTCAAAATTCACGACCATGACGTGTCCCTAGGGTACATTTTCCAACTTTCACGCTGTTTTTAGACTAATTATTCATGCCGAAATATATAACGCCATATTTTTATGTCATCAATGGTTATTAAACTTACAAAAAAGGAGCATGTTATAATTTTATTGTCATTGCAAACTGACTACCATGACAAAATAAGTCTGTCCCTCGATTTGGCGTCACGACCATTTGGGAAAAATTTTCAACTTTGGAGCAAGACAGTGGCAAGCCTGGCGTCGATGGAGTCAGTTGGTTTTAGAGACTAGTTCGGGGTGTACGTCAGGATTGTAGTGCCGGTCGTTTCGAGTTGAAAGGAGGAATTACAAGATTAATAAAGGAAAGATTGTGTTTTTTGTAATTTTGGTGTGTCCATGACCGTACATAGTCATTCGATGAAGTAGACATGGTGTTAATTATTTTTGTTTATAAGATATTTCAATTGCTAGATTAACCTAGAAGTCCACTTTGTATCCTCGAACATGAGGTGCAGGGCTACCGTCAGAACAGAGCCAAATAACACGTAATTTCACGACCAAAGTTTCACGACCATCGCGGGTTTTTTCATGACCATTGCAGACTTATGGATTATAGTGTGTTTGGTCGTGACAATAACTTTAAGATAATTGTAAATTGAACAGTTTAGTTCAATTGAAACACATATTTTTATTATAACTAACAGTATAATTGAAGGATCGTTTAGAAAGATTTAGATTATTTCAGAAAATTCACGACCATACCGCTTGTCCCTGACCATCACGTTTACGATTTCTATCATAAAAATTTCAAAAATTAATATATTGTCATATTTCAATGTTTTATACACAAAATAAGCACACCTTTATACAAACATAACGATTTTTCGGGTCTCAGGTAAGTTTTTTCGGAGTTATACAAACTTAAAAAGATTTTATTGGCTTTTTTCAATTTTTTGAGTTTTTCTTATTTTTTTCTAGAAAGACCAAATATACCAAAAGCTCAGTGACCTTTTTATTGTATAATGGTCATAAAATTAAATTATTTTATAGCAAAACATAGTTATAAAAATTAAATTAACTATTTTTAATATTCATTTAAACGTCTGTTATGGTCGTGACAGGATTTTGTGTTTTTCCACTAAAGATGCTCTTAAAAAAAAAAAAAACTACCGAAGATATTGCGTTACCATGGACATTTTATGAAACTTCAAATTTTAATTAAATAAAAAAAATAATAAAAGTTTTGAAAAAAGGGGGAAAAAATTTGCAAAGTGCTTTTCCTGAAAACGTACGTTTTTAAATTTTCACTCAAAAACTCAAATAATTTCTAAACAAGGTGTCAATGGACACAATCAGTAAGAATGTATGCAAATTCAGCGAAATTCCTGATTTGAGGTGTATAAAGAATCCACCATTCTGTGAACTTTAATTTGAGCTGTCCACCAAGCCACTGACACAGACTAGAGATGGGAAATACCGTTACATTTCAGTAATAGTCAGGAACGTTCCTTAGTTTTTTGGTTATAGGTGAAATAACAGAAATAACATTATTATTTTTGTCACCTTTTATTTCCCCTTTCATTACGTTTCAGCAGGTCGCCCCATTGTTACTATTAATTAATATGATTACATGGTCAACGTTATTTCACTTGTTCGACCTACCAGTTCAGACGAGGTTACAAAATAATATGATTCCCTGAAACGATTACCAAAACCAAGCGCTTGCTATTTATTAATAGGATTATATGGTCAGCGTTATTTCACTTGCTTGACCTACCAGTTCAGACGAGGCTACAAAATAATACGATTTTTAAGCCTATTATATGGTCAGCGTTAACTTATTTGACTTTTTTGTACTACGAGGTTAGCAAAATAATATGAATCTCAGTAAACTATTACCAAGGGTCAGGGTTATTTCACTAGCTTGTTCTAACAGTTCAGAAAACATTAAAAAATAATAGGGAATTCACAGTAACCTGTTACCAAGGTAATACAGTAGGTGAATCTTCAGTAATAACTTAGTGTTATCCTATTATGTTATTAAACGCCTAGCACTACCACAGACAGATGAGACAGGCAAATTCCTCCATAGTTGCTTACAAGACCTGACAGCGACTGGATTCGAGCCCTGAATCTGATGTGCTCTCTCCTTGCTGGATGCGTCGGGTTATTCATCCTACCAAGAGGTTTATAACCAGTGGCAGATCCATAGTACGGAACAAGTCTTATATCATAACTTAACTAATAACACATTGCACACATTTGTGATTGTCAGTCATATGCTTCGAAACTTCAAATCTTCTTAATTGATATGCAAATTAAAAGATTTGAGACCCACCCCCAATTTTCTCATTGGATCATTTGATTTGAATTTGTATTTATATTTTGATTATTTGAGAACTATACATTTTGGGGGACAAAAGAATAAAGTATGTTTTCATCCGTTCCAGATACAACTTCAGTTATTACGTTGAAGTCTCTTTGGAACAAGAGTTGAAGTAATAGAATGACTGAAAAATCGGACAAAATATGTTCAAAAATGTAGCCTGTGTATTATAAACACAAATTATCCAGGACCCCCCCCCTCCTCATCCTACTAGGAAACCCCCCAGGCACTTCTTCCCCCCCCCCCCAAACTGGAACCGATTAAACTTAGTCCTATAGGCCTATACTTTAAATAAATGATCCTAAATTGTGACTAATAACTTAAGTTAACTTATTGCTGATCTTAGACAGTCAACAAAGCTATGTTAACTCAGATAATCACACTCCATTCTAAGTACACTCTCATCCTTCGCTCATAACTTATTTGGGTTAAAATACACATTCGGTACATATGTGGCCTCCCCATCCCAAAGATTGATAACTTTATAGACACTGTAAATTTCCATGATTAACTTAAGTAGGTCTCTGAGTGACAACGTTCGGAATAAGGTACTGTTCCGGTATTAATTTTCGGCAGCTGTCAGTTATTGAATGTTGATGAATGGTTCAAACGTTCTTAGAACATTCATTTGAAGCAGCAGCTTTGGAATACTTAGTGGGCCGACATGACCATGAATCGTTTTTGGGTTTTATGAATTGTTTTTACCTACCCTGTAAAAATGCAAATGGCATTGACTTCAAGAAAATTTAAAATAAAATATTTCAACCGCACTTGCATTTCTTTAAAAGGGTATACCGTAGTTTCAAGACAGAATGGTAAAATCCTACCTAATTTGTTAATATATTCTTACAGAATATGAAGTGAATCTGCTGCGGCTGTTGGATAAGCTTACAAATGGAACAACCCTAGAAATAAATGAAACTGGGACAGAATTTGATTTTATGCCTGGAGCCCTGATTGGTGGAACATTGGAGCACGAGTGTTGCAAACAGCGAGGGATTGGGTACTATCTAGAGGTAGTTCTTTCTTTGGCTCCGTTTTGTAAAAAAGCGCTGAGCATTACGCTTCGAGGAGTTACAAATAATGAGGTAAGAACACTCTAGGCCTACACGTATATTTACCTAGCTCTAAAAGATGCTGTAAAAAAATTTACCTTGGGAGAGTGTTCTCTTAAAAATAAGCTCAAGATTATTTTTTAAATTACCTACTAAAATATGATGGTCATTAGGTCCAAACGCTAATAGACCTTTTCAAGAGATTTTTCCTAACAGTTATGCAGGAGTTTAACACATTCGCTACCCATCGCCGCATATACGTGACTCTGAGTTCATTGCCACGGACAAAGGTATACATTTTAATATTACATAGGCCTAGACCAGGGTGTCACTTGATTAATAGTTCATGATGACCACGGGCCAGTGATGCAGAAAAGTAAAAAACAGTTTTGCCAACTATCATATGATGTCACTAATAATTAGTGATAACACTGTGCATATGATAATTATTATCATATACACAGTCCAAGTGACGAACATATGCTTTGATATTATTTTAATGAAATACTGGTGTTTTTCCTAGGTCGCAGAGTGTGGCCATGGCCTCAAATAGTTGACTGATCATATAGTTGCGTGAAAAGACTAATTCTAGAGTGTTTGATGACTATCATTGTTTTCTTTTTCTTTGGTCAATATAGATGGACCCCTCTGTAGACTTGTTCAAGGCAGCTGCCCTACCAATTCTCGGTAAATTCCTAGTGATCAGCTCAGATCTGACGCTGGTCATCAACAAGCGGGGAATGGAGCCGGAGGGAGGTGGTGAAGTTGTACTGAATTGTCCAGCAGTGCGACAACTAAGACCAGTTCAGGTAAGTTACTTTGGGATATTTTTCATAAGGTATGTTAAAAAGCGATGAATTCTACCATTTATGGTGTAAGCCTATGTATTTTTGTGCCATCCAAGTCTCTAGCAACTTTTTAAGTCACACTTGTAGCCCAACTCAAACTGCCCTTAACATTATTGTGAGAGCTGCAGATAATGATGTAAAAAATATACCTTAGCTAATAAATATGCAAGAAAACATCGTCTACAGTATAACAGTATAGCTTAGTATTTATAATACAGTAGTAGGAAGCCTATGCTTTTTTAAAACAAACATACAGACATGTTACATCATTTTTATCATAGTCAGGTAGCCTACCAGACCCCCTCGCCATATTTCAGCAGGGGTAACAACAACGTTCTGTTCTGTAACCTGTTCCATCCAGCAGTTAAAAGTTATTTTCTGTTGGGCCTTGGTACAGTGGCGTCGTCCTGTAATCCAGCTACTAGGAGGCCACGAATTGTCAATATTTATTGACGCATGCACTGTGGATACGATACTCTCTGGTGTGGATGAACGTCCGCACTAGTGAGTACTACGACTATTCTCAGTGCTATGCTGATAATTAGACCAATTCATTAATACCGTTGTCTATTTCATGTTTTTCAAAAGTTCATACTTTTCCTGGGAGTCCCTTTTTCTAGACATGAGAATCTTGGGTACATTGTTGAACAGTCATCCCTCAAGTGAAAATTTCTCCTCAGAATCCATTTCTGCGATTCGTGTTCATCATAATTTTTTCCCACTGAGATATTTTTTCTCTTCTTCCCCACTTCAATTTTAGTTGAAAACCATGTTTTAGCCCCTGAGCTGTGATATAAAACAATAGGTAAGTAATTTACTTTTTGTCCACAGCTCGATCTGTTGAAACCTTTGTTACGGCCGTTTCGGCATTATCATGCCAGGTACTTTCCTATTATACGGAAGCCACAAAAATACAGCGCTCTGCAGAGGTTAGGTTGGGTTATCATAATTTTCTTATGACTAATCGGGTAACGTTCAATTCATAACGAAACGATAAACGTCCTACAATCATATTTATGATTACCCCACCTAACCTACAGCTGTAAAATAAAATAAGTCTCTGTATAATACGAAAGTACCTAATGCCATCATCAGATGTTGACATTCAGCTGGAGTAGCGGTGTCATAGTTGAAAAACACAACACAAACTACATTTGACATTTAACGTACATATACAAAAATTAATTAGACAGGCCTGTCGCACGCACCGTACTGGTTGACATTGCTACAATATGAACCGACCCATACTTTTTTCCATCACCATCATACTTTATTCTCATTTAGGCCGTTCCTTGAAATAATATGTAGTCCTCCAGATATAGTACATCTTCAGTGGTGTAGCATAGAGAGATAGCAGATTGCATCAAGTGCCAGCCTACATAGGATGACAAAAATTTTTAAAATTATAGGCCTAAGCTGATTGAATTTAGTATGTATGTCTCTGTCATGTTAATATGATGATAATGATAGTGTAAGATGTTCACTTTTATGCAATAGAAGATGACGAAATCTCGGAAATTGCAGGAAATGAACACAATGTTACTGTGTTCATTGGAGATGATCAGATATTGTTAATTCAACCTCAGGGTTGCATAGGCCTACATCTTGTATAAACTGTCAAATCTAGCCCTAAATTGATGTCTTTGAAAAATTACTAAACTTTTCAGAGGTTAGGTGGTTCATACCCTTTAGAACTCTCGACAAGGAGGGGACAAAAACATCTGCCTGGGTCCCAATAGACCTTCCCACGCTCCTGGCAGCCTAATCGCTTCGACGTCTACGTGGACACTGAAGCAGACATACCAATTATATAGACCTGTCTCTAATATTTATTTTTAAATTGCATAGGCTATAGTTGAATGATCCAGGCACAAATTCTAGTTTCGTTTTTGTTACTATGATAGATGATGATGAGTTATATATTTTAAAATAGTCTACAATAATTTGTCCTTTAAAGTTTGGCTCGGTTAAAAAATTTGATCCTGTAAAAAATCAATAAATTATATCAGCGCATGCTTTTGGTGGCACAATCTAGCTATGTTTATTTTATTTCCAAATTTTACTTCAGCTTTAACTTAGGAAAGGAATGTCCAGTTTCATAGTCAAAGATTGAAGGAAAGGGGTGTGTAATGAGCAGTGTTGTGGAAGTAAATTTTCCAGTGCAGGAACGCCTCAAGATTTGTCAATCGTCTTACAAAACCACAGGTTGCCTAATAATAGAGGGTTTTTTGAAAAATCAAAAGAGTTTTCACTACACCACTAGTTATAAGTCAGACCTAAAATGGTATTTAATTTTTGTTTAATTTTTAATGCCTATCTTCAAAAATCTAAACGATTTTCTATACCGGTAGCTCACCCTGTTTAGCCACAGAATTATCTTTCATATTTTTGAATGGCACTTAAGAAAATTTTGAAATTTGCCTTAACAACCTGTAGTTTGGTTAAGTATATCACTTCAACTTTATGTTTAGCAGGACTATGTTATAAACAATCTGCTTTGCTGGGAATGGTATTTACTTCTTACGCTCTTTGCGTACATGCTTGGTGCAGTTTTAATGGAGGAAATAGACCTGTTTATAGCTTTTCTTGAATAAACCTAAAAAATTATCCACAAAATATTTAGTTAAAATACACTCAGATTATCTTTTGCACAGGTTAAGGATAGTGGAAAGATCAAGCGGATCCGAGGAGTTGTGTTTGCTCTCCGAGTATCGCCCAGTATTGCCAACAGAATCGTAGAAGCTGCGAAAGGTGAACTGCTGCACTTCCTGCCAGACGTCTTCATCAGTGTTGATCACCGCAAGGGAAAACAATCCGGAAAATCTCCTGGTCAGTTAATTTTCATCTGCAATGTAGAAGTGTATATACAAACACCCTGAACTCATAAGTCATAAAGTCAGTTTGTGGTAACTTGTATCAATACAAGGGCTGTTCAGGATGTAAGGAACATTTTGTAATCAAATAAAAGTTTGTATAAGAAAAGATATTTGGTTATGAGTGCCACAAAAATACTACTTTTCTATTTATCAAAGCAACGGAGAAGCTATGATATTCCCATGTCAGAGAGTCCCGCCGCCTGCAAGCACAAGTGACCTCAACTGGAGGTCCTCATTGTAATCGAAGCTCTTTGCTGCCCTGTTAACTTTTGTGTTCAAAACAAGTGGAAGTCACTTGGAGTCAGTTCTTTACTGTGGGGTGGTTTAAGGAAAATCTCCCATTTGAATGATTGAAGGAGATTGAGGGATTTGACATGTGAGGTCGGGCATTCTCATTCAAAAAACCTCTTATATTTTTGTTCTGCCATTTTGAAACAGAATGGACCATTTCCGTACTGAATCCAAATTTATTACATTGTTACTGTACACACTCGACAATAAATTTCTATAGGTTTTAAGTGCATGGCCAACAAAAACTGTTACAGAGCGCACCTCACAACTTGCGGCATATTCAGTTGCAGCACACTTTTTAAAATTTATTACAATGGGCTGGGAAATGACCCTGCTGAGGCTGTTGGACAGTCATTGAATAGACAAACATGTCTGTACTAGGAAGCACACCACCAAGTGTTTACCTTTCTAACATAGATCAGTAACATAAGCATATGGTGTCTTACTTCTTTAAGTTCTTAAAGATGTCTATTAGATAGTGATGTGGTATGTGTATTGGCCATTGGGTATTTATTACACCTCTATTAGTTATTTGTTTGTTTACCTCAGGGTGTCCATCCCATTGAGTCCCTCACTGTTCATGTTTTGTGTTTCTTCATCAATTATGTATTTCCATTCCACTGACCCTAAGGTCAAAGAAAATCAAAACAAAATACTAAATAGTGTAAAATCCTGCAGCACTGTTCCCATATCCCATTATTTACAACTGTGTTTACAAACAGAGCAAAATTATAGGCCTAATCACATATGTATTAGCTATAGATTTTTCACCATTGAGAATGTTAATGTAGCCTACTCTAAAGTATACAAATTTTACGACAATTGAAAAAATTAGTGCTAGAAGAATATCTTTAAAATTGTTACTAATTATTCCCACTCCTACCACAGGTTACGGTGGATGTATATATGGGGAGAGTACAACCGGAGTAGTTTTGACAGGAGAGACTGCGTCTCGTCCTCCCCCCTCCCCTCCGCTCGCTCCAGACGACATGGGTCGACAGCTGGCCTGGACCTTGCTGGAGGAGGTAACATTTTCATGCTACACCACTTGTTACATCAATATCACCATCTATCGTTCAAAGTAGCCTACTCTAGGTTATGACAAAACTGAGTTCAACTAAAATTTAATGTAAGGGGAATGGATATTTAATATTCTTACGTACTAAGACTTGTCTAATTTCTTATATCATTTTTGCAGGTATCTCGTGGGGGATGTGTGGACTCCAGTTTTCAAAGTCTAGCATGTCTATACATGTCTCTGACGCAGAAAGATGTCTCACAATTTGTCTCTGGGCCTCTATCTCCATACACGTAAGTAATTACTTGTTACCGCTAATCTAAGCTCGGCTAGTCCTACTCCTCGCTTAATCCAACCATGTCATTGTCTATTGGTGACAACGTTTTCGTGGTAATACCGTGACTATTTGCCATGGTCATGTGGAGATCATCACCCAAGATCTAGGCAAAAATCTTGTTTATCCCCCGCGATAACTGCAAAAATCTGGACTATCCGCTGCAATTACACTAATACATCATTATCCTATTTTGCGATCACAGAAACATTTATAGTCTTCCTCCGCGATGGTGGAAAAATATTGAATATCTCCATGATCACAGGAACATTATCATTGTCTTCGGTAATTGCAGCAAAATCCTGAACATACTTGAACATGTCTACCTGATGGTGTAAACATCATCATCGTCTTCCCTGATTGCGGCAAAATGTTAAACATCTCCCATCTCCAACTGGGCATTAACATCGTCTCCAGCAGTCATAGAAACTTTATTGTAGGGGTGTATCTGTGATCAAGGCAAACTCCTGATTATCACCTGCGGTAACATCATCATCGTTGTGTCCCGCGATTGTGGCAAAATATTTAACGTCTCCTGTTGTCACAGGAACATTATCATTGTCTTTTACCATCGAGTGTGATCCATAAATCTCAGGTGTACAAATAATTTTGTCATATATCATGCTCCTTGGACAATGCAACCTTTACAATTTTCTGACCGTGGTCCCAACCCTGTACCCACAACCGTGATTGTGGCAAAATCCAACACCTCTCTTGCGTTCTTTTAGACATAACCATCGACACCTGCGGTCATGAAAACATCCTCATTGCGCATCCTGCGGTTGCGGCCAAATCTTGAATATTTCAACAGTAGTGTGAACTTGATCATCGTCTCCCGCAATCATGGAAAATCATAATCGTCCTCCATGATAGCTTGATAGTATAAGCTCAGCCAATTTTATTAGTGGTAAAATTGCCTGAATTTTGGTGAAAATCCAATTACCCTCGTTTTAGTATGCTAATGTGGTACTGTCCCAATTGATTTGAATGATTGGAGCTCTATTTCATAAAATTTCTTCGCATAATTTAGTCCTGCTTAGTTTTCATAAATTTGTACTATTTTAGTAATTTATTTATAAGTAGCCTATGTATAAGTGATGTTTTTCAAACTTTTAACTTATTACGTTTATTTTGTAGGATATCATTTCTACGGCATCTCCGGACATTTTTTGGTGTCACTTTCAAATTAGAGCCTTACCAAGAGGAGAATGAAGAAAACCTGAGGACGGGGGTAAATAAAGTTTTACTTACCTGTCTCGGAGTCGGTTACAACAAGCTTGTTTGAATATGTAATAAATATTTTTTTATCAAACATTTAACGTTTTATTTTCACTATGCTGTAGCTAATATATCTATATACTTAATATAATAAGAGGTTTCTCTATCACATCCACTTTCAGCTATCCTATTTAACCGATTTTTACAATTTAAGTGCAATTTTAGGGCTTTTATAACCTAGCAGAGAGACAAATGGAAATGGGTATAACGTTATTTCCTTTAGGGGTTGACCCTTATTGAATTTGATTTATTTCTACAGTAGAGTTCATTTTCAAAGACTCATGCTGACCCACTTTTTTATAAGAGTTTAAATGTGAATTGCAACAAACAGCTGATCATTCAGTTGAATGTTTAACCACTGTCAGAATGTAAACAATAGGCAAAACAGTTTATGTTTATGGAAATGGATTTACACCATACTGCACTGTTTTAACGAACTTCCCACGCAAATATTTAGTCCAGAAAACAGTTGTTTGCCGCCAGCTTAATCAAATGGGGTTTCATTGCGTACTACTGTACTGTAATGAGTTTTACCGGATACCAATCAGTTGATTTATACTGTATTTGGGTGGCAATGAGTGGTTATAAACAAAAACATAACCTCGCTTAGAGTTTATGACTAGTGATTTTTAGTCCTTTAGTTGGTGGTAATATGGTGGATTTGTACTGATTTAGTAGTACGGCGTAAACTATCGTACGTAACTCATCCAAAATGTGTTTACCGGTCTCGTATGGGAACGACCACACTCGTCCTGTAATCACTTATTTTCAGGACTAGTAATGTAATATACTATTAAATATCCTTTTTTTTATAATTAGTCCAGCATCTATAGGGGGTTGAGTATGCACTGAAAGTGTAACTCTTTTTGACTTTTGATTGTTGTTGGGGGCATCTTGGAGATGACAAAAACCGATGTTGTCGCCCTCCCAGCAGGTGCACAACTTGGGGGGGAGGGGGGGAAGGTGCTCTGAGACGCGTTCTAGAAAATCACTTATATCTCGTGAACTAGACACGACAAAAACAAGCTCTAAACGGCATTGTATTACCAACTTCATCTGCTTTAAAAAAGTAACCAGGAAAAGTCCAGTATCTATGATATTAGTTGAGTTATTTAACCATTTATTTAAAAATTTGAATAAAACCCCTAAATAACGTTAAACTATCCATAAAAACCCCTTTAAAACAACAAAAAGGCCGGTAATTCATCGTGCATAATATGTTTTACACGCTTAAGTGACTTTATATGGTAATTATATCGAAATATTACAAGGTTATGCGAGGTTTCCGATGAAGCGGCACGGTGACGCGGGTGACGCCACTGCGCGGCAGAAATCAACGTGTAGTACAGACTTGTAAAAATTGGGTATGTACCGAAAGTGTAACGCATTTTGACTTTTGATTGTTGTTGGGGGCACCTTGGAGATGACAAAAACCTATGTTGTCGCCATTCCATCAGGTGCACAACTTGGTTGAGGGGGGGGGAAGTAGCGTTGAGGCGCGTTCTAGAACATCGCTCATATCTCGTGAACTAGACACGATAGAAACCTGTTTAAAACGACATTGTATTACAAACCGCATCTGCTTAAAATATTATACAATGGAAAATCCCATATCAATGAAAATAATTGAGTTATTTAACATTTTATTTGAAATTACAAATTTAAAGTCAAAATACCGTTTATCTACCTACATAACTCTCATAAAACAATGAATAGTACTGTGTTTGGAATGCATTCTATGTTCAACACACGAATTACAAAAAATTAAGTGTACTGTACTTTCCTCAAAATAATATGTACGGAGTTCTCGAGTTTGCGAGAAAATAATTATAAGCTGTTTTTAACTCTAGGCTATTTTAAATATAAAATTTAAACTAAAATCTATGTACAAATACCAAAGAAAATACTTCAGTTTGAAATGTATACGGTTTTTATTAAAAGAATATTAAAATAGACTTGGAAATGCTGTACTTCATTTTAAAGATCCTTGATTTCTACAATTTTTAAAACATTTGCAGTAGGATCTGCAGGATGACTTGTTTGAAAAGCAGCTACAAGTTGATCTAGAACTAGTCTTGCATTTACATGGCTTTAGCAAATTTGTAGGAGCTATTGTTTTCTTATGTGTAGTTTACATGGTTAAGTTTTAAAATGAAGAACAGCATTTCCAAGTCTATTTTAATATTATTTTAATAAAAACTGTATACATTTCAAACTTAAGCATTTTCTTTGGTAGTTGTACCTAGATTTTAGTTTAAATTTTATATTTAAAATAGCCTAGTGTTAAAAACAGCTTATAATTATTTTCTCGCAAACTCGAGAACTCCGTACATATTATTTTGAGGAAAGTACAGTACACTTATTTTTTTGTAATTCGTGTGTTGAACATAGAATGCATTCCAAACACAGTACTATTCATTGTTTTATGAGAGTTATGTAGGTAGATAAACGGTATTTTGACTTTAAATTTGTAATTTCAAATAAAATGTTAAATAACTCAATTATTTTCATTGATATGGGATTTTCCATTGTATAATATTTTAAGCAGATGCGGTTTGTAATATAATGTCGTTTTAAACAGGTTTCTATCGTGTCTAGTTCACGAGATATGAGCGATGTTCTAGAACGCGCCTCAACGCTACTTCCCCCCCCCCCCTCAACCAAGTTGTGCACCTGATGGAATGGCGACAACATAGGTTTTTGTCATCTCCAAGGTGCCCCCAACAACAATCAAAAGTCAAAATGCGTTACACTTTCGGTACATACCCAATTTTTACAAGTCTGTACTACACGTTGATTTCTGCCGGGCAGTGGCGTCACCCGCGTCACCGTGCCGCTTCATCGGAAACCTCGCATAACCTTGTAATATTTCGATATAATTACTATATAAAGTCACTTAAGCGTGTAAAACATATTATGCACGATGAATTACCGGCCTTTTTGTTGTTTTAAAGGGGTTTTCATGGATAATTTAACGTTTTTTAGGGGTTTTTATTCAAAATTTTAAAAAAATTGTTAAATAACTCAACTAATATCATAGACACTGGACTTTTCCTTGATACGTTTTATAGCAGATGAAGTTGGTAATACAATGCCGTTTAGAGCTTGTTTCTATCGTGTCTAGTTCACGAGATATAAGCGATTTTCTAGAACGCGTCTCAGAGCACCTTCCCCCCCTCCCCCCCAAGTTGTGCACCTGCTGGGAGGGCGACAACATCGGTTTTTGTTATCTCCAAGATGCCCCCAACAACAATCAAAAGTCAAAAAGAGTTACACTCTCAGTGCATACTCCACCCCCTATAGATGCTGGACTAAATTGTAACATGATTGAGTTAGGTAAATTACTCTCTTTATGGTGTAGATCTAAAATCAACAAATTTAATTTATAATTATTATGTACAAGGATAGGGATCAGCTAGCTTACCTGGTAGATAGAGTCCAGATTAGCCTTGATTACACATAAAACACTTAACACAACACAGAAAAACTTAATATTTCGTCCCAGTTAGGGACTTCATCAGAAGGGAGAAGAAAGAAAACTGGCAGTTACAGTTCAAATTCAAAAGTTCCACAATAGTGTTGCCAACTGTTGTTTAAAATTAAATGAAAATTCCTGTTGTTATGTACATCTATATACACATACACTCCTATATATACATATGGTGGTTGATTTTTATAAAAATGAAGCTAGCTGAGGGAAGGGTTGGGTGAATTATCTGATGTTAAGGTTAGGAGGGTTTCTGGAATCAGTGATGTATTGGTAGGCTAGTTCCCACCTTCTGAGTAGGGAGCTGTTACATTGGTCTTTGGGGAGGGATTTTATGGCTTTTGTGGTGAAACATGTATCAAAGTCTAAGTTGTGGTTTGCTGCATGTATTGCAATGGGTTTGTATTTGTTTGTTTTAACATCCTGTCTATGTCCATTCATCCTTTTCCTAAGAGTTTGGGTGGTTAGGCCTATATATTGAGCTTGACAGAGTTTGCATTGTAGTTGGTAGATCAGGTTTTCGCTATTGCATGTTATGTGGTCTTTTATTTTGTACTCTTTGTTGTAGGATGTGCTGGTGAAGGTTTCCGCAGGAATGTTGATGCCACAGGTCTTGCATTTAGTTTCATTGCATGGGTAGGAACCTGGGGGCAGTCTTGGAGGCGGTTCAACAGACGGGTCGGGTAACTTGGGATGGACTAGGATGGTTTTTAGATTGGCAGGTTGTCTGTAGACTATGGTGGGGGGTTTTTGGAAGAGATCTTTGGTCTGGGTGGAGCTTCGAAGCATGTTGTAGCCGGTTTTCAAAAGGTTATTGAGCCTGTTGAGACCTGGGTGGTAAGTAGTCTCCAGGTTGACATCGTAGGTGGTTTTGGTTTTCTTAGGTGGATTGTCAGTAGCATTTTGGGCCGCTTTTATTTGCGAAGAGACTGTTTGTGTCGGGTATCCTCTATTTTCAAAAGCAGTTTGGAGTTGTTTGTTGTAAGTTATCAGATTCTTCTTGTCGGAGTTTATTCGTTTCCCTCTTAAGGCAAGACTGTAGGGTAGGGAGCGTTTGGTGTTGTTGGGATGGCAGCTGTTATAGTGTAGGTACTGTTGGTGGTTGGTGGGTTTGGTGTAGACAGATGTGGAGATTGAGCCATTTTTCAGTTCCACCATGACGTCAAGAAAGTGAACCGCAGTTTCAGATAACTCCCAAGTGAATTTCAATGTTGAGAAAGTGTTTAGGCTATTTAAAAAATGGTTGAGGCTATTTTCTCCATGGGGCCAAATGACAAAGATGTCGTCTATGTATCTGAACCAACAAGTTGGTTGTAGAGTCTGTTTTTGCAGAAAGTCATTTTCAAGTTTTCCCATAAACAAGTTGGCGTATGAGGGGGCCATCCTGGTACCCATGGCAGTCCCTTTTATCTGCAAGTAGTGGCGGTCCAGGAATTGAAAATTATTCTTTTCAAGGATGAATTTGGTGAGGCTGATGATAAAGGAAGTCTTAGGGAGTTCACCTTTAGTTCTTTTGTCAAGGTAATGTTCAACTGCAGCAAGTCCGTGGGCGTG